TGCGATAGATTTATGTTTTACCTAGTCAATAATGACCAGAGTTTTATTTCTACTATGAAACAATTCTTTTCCCAGCTCTTCGTTCATTATTCATTTTGACTGAAAGATTAAAGAGATGTGCAGCCTCTTCGACGGATGCGTTCTTTGAGTGTCATAAAAACTGTCGAGACCCTTTGGGGTAGAAGGAGCACTTATTGGCAAAAGTGAATTGCACTGGTGGGTCGTGTTTTCTGCTCCTTTTCGAAAGATTAAACTTGGGGAGAAAAACTCTTGAATAATTCTTTTATTTTATTACTGAGATAAAATCGGGAAGGAAATAAACAGATATATACAGGGTGTCCCAGAACTCATCGTCAATTGGGGTGATGGGATTGACAGTAACTATCCTGAAAAAAATAATTAGTAAATCAAAGTTATCTCATATTGTTTGAGAATTATGAGTTTTTGAGTGCAACCTCCAGCGTTGGTGAAATTGGACCATTTTTGGGTACAGTAACCATGAATAACATTTCTAACTACAGTAAAAAATAATGCCACAATTGCATTAAGTTTTCATGAATTAAGACTTTTTGTCACCGTGAATTTAAAATTTTCAAAATTGCTAAAGTTTGCAAATTTCTCTTCTAAAAAAATATACTAAGTATGTTGGCAAGTTTCATCAGAAGTTGGCACGTTGAAGGTTGAATGAATAAAAACTTAACTTTTTAATATCAAAAGTATCAGCCCCATTTCGGCTTGACGTGGAGTTCTGGTACACCCTGTATATTATATATTATCTGAATCAAAAAAAGAATTAGAGAAGTTCGATATATGAAGACGATAAAAGCACAAAATCTATGTAACAGAATTGTAACACATTTTTTGTTTTTGAATGAAAAAACCATGATTCTAAATATTGACTGTTACAGATTATATATATATACATACATACATATATATATATATATATATATATATATATATATATATATATATATATATATATATACTTATTCAATAATATTTAATTAAGGATCAAATGTCAAATCAAAAGTTTACGATGCCCGTATTACTCTTCGAAAGTAGCTGCCCCTTTAAATTAAAATTAATTAAATAATCTCCACTCTAAGATATATATATATATATATATATATATATATATATATTTCGTTTCTTATATTTGATATATCTACGTAATAAGATCCTTATAGATGTATTCATATATTCTGCATTATGCGAGAATATTCTGTCTAACAAGATTATATTCATTTTTCTTCTACCAGGACTCAATTTGTATACTGAATTTTATGTATGTATATTTTAGAATAAGCTCGTAATTTATAATTTTCATATATTTATTCATTTCAAGTTATTACGTAATGGAATTAAAATTAACGAGCAATACCCTGCAATATAAGATAGCAAATTCATATTCCAACATAATATATTATAATTATTATTAAATCTTCAGAATCTGATAGTTAATTTAATTTATATTTCGTATTATCGTATTACTTTTTCGTGTGCTCTTATAAACTTCATAACATCCATAGAAATGGCAATAGTTATATCAATAATTGTATTAGTACTCAAAATAGTAATCTTTTTCCTTGATATTTCTTTCATTTATTTTGTAAATTCATTTTCTATATCATCTTCTCTGATTTATTACTATATTCATATTTGTGTCAATTTAACATTAAGTGCTTTACGACGAACTATTGACTATAAAATACAAATATCTATTCTTCCAATCCTTGAAAAAAATTGCTTTCCAATTTAAAGGCAGAAAGTTCTGCTCTGAGTTTTGTGTATCGATTTTCTAAACCAGGTTATAGCGCGTAGCAAGGTCCTTGCTGACGTCATTCAGAAAGGAGTCCAAATGTATTATCCTTCGTATATTTGATGGAATTTCTTGAAATTTCTTCGGGACTGTTGTAGAATAATAAATATTTGTAAATCATCAATATAATACAGGTAGTATACAGGTCATTGCCTCCATAAAGGAAAAAATATTCTTTTGGGGCATTAATGCAATTACATTAACTCACACTTTGCGAATATATATTGTAAAAAAATAATTTTGAAAAATTGCTAATATTTACAGGTTCATGAATTCTAATCATCATCATTATTGTCTCACAATTGGTGTTTGAATTATCCATGGAGTTAAGCTCATTTATCTACTCCAAATAATTGCAATAATTGCAGAATTATATATAATTATTTTTTTCTGGATCGTACATTTTATAGTCCATTAAGGGGGCATATTCAAGTGTAGAAATTCAAAAAAATCGATTTCTTTTAATTTCATATTTTCAAAGTTTAACTATCTAAAAATATGGGTACGAGAAGGTTTTTGAAAATTTGAAATATTTTCGGAGACATAGGCATTTTACTGACTCGGTCTTCATACTGGTTATGGCTTCACGCAAAACTTTAAATGCGTTTTTCTTAGAACATACTTTTTCAGTACTGTTGACACGAATTCCCGAGTTTTAATCGGCCGATTCACTTGAAATGTTCAGAGTCTTGTTTATAGACCTTTCTATAGCCCGAACTAGGATTATTCCCAAATTCCAATTTTTAGTATTTTTAAAAAAATCGAAAAACTCAAAAAAACAGTAAAAAAACACTTCTTTAAACAGTCGCCAATTTGTAAAAAATTTTTTTTTACTCATCGCTAGTTCGGGCGATTGCGGCATCATTGTAGATTAATAATCTTTTTATTTTTTGCATTTTCGATGGCCAGGAGGGCTGAAATCATGTCAAGACTGAGGTGCCAATTTTTTGAGACCACCCACTTTATCAGCTGCCAGTTTTTACAATTTTCAACTTTTTTATTTTTTTGTTTTGTATTTTAATAATATTAATAAACAAGTGGTGAAAAAATGGATAGTAAAAACATTCATTGATTTCTTTTACGACACTTTAAAAATGACCTGAAATTCATCGCTCTACACTAGCATACCCCCTTAATAAAGCACTCTGTCTTGCAACCACAAGGTTTTGAGTTCAAATCCCGCACTTTGTAGGACCTGATACGAAGCATTTTAATTGAAAATGCAGAAATAATTTATGTTTCAAATTTTAAATATATTCTCGAGACATTATATTGTAATATATCACCTCACACTTTACAAGTATATAAGGTGAAAATTTCAATTGAAAGCAAAAGACAACCATAGGGTTGCCTCAGAACGAAATTAAAAAAGGAATGCAACAGTTCATAAAATGCTGATATATTTAGATATATATATATATTATTTTTAGGTATATAAATGTATATTACCCGATACAACCCTGCATTGCGGATTTTCATTTGTCTCATGGAAGGGACAAGGTCGTAGGTAGCGCAAAGATAATATTGGCAAGGTCGATCGAACGATGCAGAATTGTCAATTTTCGTCCACTACAAATCAAAATACTACAATAGTCATTTTGACTTTCTAATAATTTGAAAATTTACTATAAAATATAATGCGTTCTCGCTCGAACATATGATTCAAGAACGGGATGGATAATAAAAACTGAACAATGAAGGGAATTTTAAAGGTGTTTTGTTTGTCTTATTGGAATCATATATATCATTATCTCGCTCGAACATATGACGAAAGAACGGGATGGATGATAATAACTTACAATTAGCCATGATTTTAATGCAAATATTCGTTGCTTATTGTTGCAAGCTTGTATATCGTTATATATGAAGTTTGACTTTATAATATCAAATTTTACTATAAAAATTATTTATGCAAAACTATGAACATAGTGGCAAAAAAAAAAATAATATTATTCTAAAAGCAATAATTAAGTCTTTCCATTTAGGTATTTTAGATCTTGTATTGAACCAGACGTTAAGAATTAAAAAAAATAATCAAGATTCTGCAAATTTTCTATGGAAAACATTTTTTGTTATAAAGTATGGTAGAATGATTTGTATTAAATTTGTGTTTGAAATTACTTGTATGTTCACAGAAAATGATTGATATATAAATATATATATATATATATATATATATATATATGTATATATAACCTGGTATTGATTAGGTTAGTAACGTCAAAGACAGGCACAGCCAGAATGCGCAGAAGTTTAATAGCGAAAGTTTGTTTGAGTATATTTATTCGACTTCATATAGATGTAAATATACAACATATATATATATATATATATATATATATATATATATATATATATATATATATATATATATATAAATTCGGAATTGTCCATATTAAGGACCACCCTAATATACATATACATATATACATATATCTAAACATGAACAAATTAAGTTCCTGTGCAGTATTATATTTATGTTGTAATTCCAGTTCTATAGAAGAAGCTTGTTTTTAAGCCCCACTTTGCAATTAATTACATGCGATTATACGGATTTTATATTTACTATTATAGATAATTGAGTATGCTATTATTAATAATGAATAATTATATTGACACTTAACGGAGAGACCCCGTAGTGAATATTTACCTTTTTGAAAAAATATAATTGATCAGTAAAGTATTATTATAGTTATAATGAAAAATTCTCGAAAACTATATTAGACGGAATAGATTTGCCTCTTCCTTTAAGTATTAAATATACATTATGTATACATTTTGATATAATTTGATACATATGATATAATTTGATAGTACACGACTAAACCACATTCATAAAATTAGTAAGGCTTTTTGTAACATTAAATGGCCGCATGCCTAGTAATGACAAGACATATACTTGTCGCTTCTGAACATGTGGCCATTTAAGGTTATACATTATAAATAGCCTTTTATAAATGCGTTAATAGTCAATAATGCTTTTGTTGCATAAATAAATTGTTATATAGGTCTTCATGAAAAAAATTGAACGAATCTGATAACCTGTATCTTGATTTCGAGGCGTCGGAGTCGCCAGAGTCTCGAAGTCATGATATAGGACATCAGATTGTTATATATGATTTTATTTTATAAACTTGCCTTGTACGCCCATATATAACTATTGTATTTTTTATTTCAGTTCTATGCCTTGTTGGAGAGTAATACCTTCATGAACCACACCATAGGCTACAGAAAAATGACACTTTTTGCACCAACAAATGTTGCTTTCCAGAGATACAGGGGACCACTCAATAATTCACTAGTCACTTATCACGCAAGTAAGTATAAAACTTTAGTATTTTGCAATTATAATATGTAAATGTCTCATATATGAACTCTCCCCAATTGCACAATGTGTCATTATCCTTAATAAGATATCGGTAATAATGTTTTCAACACTTAACACTTTTATTAATATTACCGATGTGTTAATTGAATGTACGAAACTTCATATAAGCCAATTACTGCTAATTACAATATCTATATCTGCCCGGCGAAAGTTTTGACAAACTAGGTGACATATTCTTTGTGTCTTATGAAACCACGTGTGAAATAATTGACACATCTGAAAATGTTGTCTGATGCGATTCATATATATTGCCTTCTTGCTCCAATATTTGACATTAGAAAGGGGTGGATAATAAAAACTGAACAATGAAGGGAATTTTAAAGGAGTTGTCTGATGCGAATCATATATATATTATTATCTCGCTCGAACATATGACGCAAAAACGGGATGGAGAACATTTTAGCCATGATTTTAATGCAAATATTTGTTGCTTATTGTTGCAAGCCTGTATGACGTTATATATGAAGTTGATTGATGTTTTTGAAATTTCGATTGAAAATAACGAAAGTGGTTTAATCATGAAAATTTATTAAATTGTGAAATAATGAGAAACGTCAAAATTTCAAAATATATGAAACTTGCATCAAGGTAAAACACCACTTAAACTTAGTTATTAATTGTTACAATTGAACATTCAAGTGTCATTCTTTTCCTATATGAATAACTTTTACTGTATAAAGTTACAACTTTTACTATTTTGTCAGCAAATTCGACTACACCGAGTGTTGTATGCAACGTGTCGCTTTTTCTTCCTTCGTCGTAGCTGCGCTAGATTAAAAATACTATTTCATTGTCAACATAAATTCCCTCATTTTTTGCCGACATCCAGTGGCGTGCGTAACTTTATACACGTTCGGAGGTGCACGTACGTGATTTCCATAATTCTGGGATAAAGCTTGTCGGACGTGGGGTTTGTTTTATGCCTTTTTCGAGGAAAAACAAAACTGGGGCAAATGTGGAAAGGAAATTTTGTAACACAAACATGGCATAGTACGAGGTGTGTTCAAAAAGTACCCGGAATTACTAATAATTAAATTTCGCGGGTCTGGAGTGTCTGATTGTCAAAATTTTTTTTTTATTGTGTTGGTATACATGCCCCTAAAGTATGATGAAATTTTCAGCTATATTCACTGTTTACTTTGTCTGTGGTAGTCGCTAAGGTTCGACGTGTTTTTCTGAGCTCGGCGATTTTTACAATGGAAGAATTGAAAAGTCAAAGAATTTGTATTAAATTTTGCGTAAAAAATGAAATAAAGTGTTGCAAAGTGCAAAAATTCACCAGATATGGCTCCGTGTGACTTTTTCCTATTCCCAAAGTTGAAGAGACCCATGAAAGGACGGCGGTTTTCATCGATTGAAGAAAATCGCTGAGAGTGCTCAAGGACATATCAAAAAGTGAATATCAAGGGTGCTTCGAAAATTGGAAAAAACGCTGGCATAAGTGTATTATATCTGGGGGGGACTACTTTGAAGGGGACCACATTAATGTAGACGAATAAATAAATATTTTTTTGAAAAAACGAAAATTCCGGGTACTTTTTGAACAGACCTCGTATATAAGTATATAGATAAATTAATTTATTTGGTTTAATGTCGTTGTTTTTTTTTTGTCTTTCAGCAAATGTGGCTCGTGTTTTGGACGAATTGCCTAATAGTGTTTTATCTGAGTCTGATGGAAACCCACCCTTATGGGTTACTAGAAAAAGGGGCACTCACAGTGACGAACTTTATATAAATAATGCTAAAATTTTGAAAAGACGGTCGGATTATGTTGCTCCCACTAAAAATGGGGAAAACAAGCAGGTAGGATTATGAAAAATATTTTTTTTATAAAATAGCATATGTTTTCATAGACACTCATTGATATATACAAATATAATTTAGGTTTTGCACGTAATTGACGAAGTTTTGGAGCCGATTCAACTGGCTAATCCAAATATACAAAATTACAATCCTGATGCTTTCGAATTTCTTAACCAATCAGAGAATTACAATATAGGCCATCATAGAGTCAGGTAAAAATAATATTAAATATCATTTGAAATACATATAGTCTTCAATTTTCATTTTCATTATTGTCATAATTATTCTATAGGACATTCAGACAGAGAATGCTCCACACAAGAAGGCAACACGTATTTTCAGCTGATGGCAGACACACTTTCTTTATTCCAGTAGAAGATGGATTTAAGGTAATTTTGAATTGTGATTTAATTAAGACTACTTTTAAGTTAAAAGTAGAAAGAAAATCTAAATTTTCAACTAAATTGACCACCCGCAGAGTGTAAAACTACGCCCTTTAACATCTATCACGCCTTGTAATGATAAATTAATTCAGTTAATGAATTTAACTATAAGTTGTAAAAACAGTGGGAGGTTATTGATTAAAGTTTTCCATGTTCTTTATTGTAATCTAAAGAATTGAATGAGATTACTAAATTTTATAAATACATACAAAAATAATGAAAACGTTATTGCCTGTTATTAACATATTAAAGATTATATTAAAGAAGTACATTTTTAACTTCCCGTAGGGTATAAGTTATTGTAATCGTCCAAAAATCCAAAATGAAAATTTTTACATTTCTCGACGTTTTGAAGGTTTCTGAACATTTTGGCATACCTCAGAAAAAATGGATGTGTGTGTGTGTATGCATGTATGGATACAATTTTTCGTCCACGTTTTCGGGCGCACGGTTCAACCGATTTGAATGGTTCAAAAAACATTCGATTCCTATTGATAAGGAGATGTGATGATTAGTTTTTGGCAAAGACAGGTCCAGCCGTTACGGAGATACGGAGCAAAGAGTGCAGAAAATAGGAATTCGAGTTTTAGAGAGAACTAAGCAACCGATTTAAATGATTCAAAGAACTTTCTGTTTGTTTTAACAAAATAATTGATTTGGAAAAAAAAAATTTGTTTCAATTTTTTTCCATTTTTTTTCTTTTTAATTTTTTTGTGTATCGAAAATAATTCAGATTTTATTTTTAATTCTTACCAAAGCTTTAATATACTTTAAACAAATAATTGCAACGTTGCAATTCAGTTTATATAATATCCTTATAAATATTAGACATCGTTACAATATTAATAATAATCTATTAAATTGAAAACATTCAATATTTCTCGAACATTTCGTTACGGTACGGGAAGTTCCAGCAATTTGCCTTAAGGCACGATGCCATACTAGTCTTTACATTTTAGTATTAAATGGAACTTAATACATTAAAATGGTTGTTTGAATACATTTAGCTCTATTCTATTTTTGTTTTATAATTAATCAACTTCTGAATCATTTATCGTTGTTTTATTCCTGATCCTGTTTGATGTTATCTGATAATTGTATGTGATATTTTCATCTATCCATTTCATTCCATTCATTTCTTGTATCAATAACTATATATTTTCTATTTAGCCAACTATGCGTTCGAATTTGATTGATGCCAAAGTCATTGATGGGCATGTGGTTCCCAACCAAGTTCTATTCACAAAACCAACCCCAAACGACCCTTATCAGACCTATGCCTTTGGAGATAACCTTCAGGTGACAGTTTCCATGCACACCGTTGACGACGGCAAAACCACCAAGAGTAAGTTTATAATTTAGATGAAAATTTATTAGAGGGAGAATTATTAGTTGCAATAATTGTTTGTTTCGATAAAACTAATATTGATTTTTTAACCAGCCTATGTTCGATCTAACACACTGATCGGGGACCCAAACCATGCTACGGGGGTTGTTCTAGCAGAAGTTGTCAAGGCTAATATTCCAGTCAGGAATGGAGTCGTACATCTCATCAATAGACCACTCATGGTAGTCGATACCACTGTCAAGGAATTTTTAGAGGTCTGGATGAAGATAGAATAATTCTAAAACCAATCAATATTTAGAATAAGATTGCTTAAGTCGTAGCACCTAGTAATATTTAGTGCAGTTAAGATAAAAGAATACATTTAGTATTTTCTGAATCGTTATTCATTCGATTTATGAATAATTACTGAAAAATTAATATAGAATTTAGTCTGAGACCAACATTTCTTAACAAAGAAAAGCATTATTACAGTAAGGTCTAAAATAAATTAATATTCTCAAGTACTTCTAAAAATATTACTACCAGTCTTCCAATAATAAATAGTTATTCATTCAATTTATGAATAGTTACTGAAAAATTAATATAGAATTTAGCCTGAGATCAACATTTCTTTACAAAGAAAAGCATTATTAGAGTAAAGCATAAAATAACTTAATATTCTCAAGTACTTATAAAAATATTACTGCCAATCTTCCAATTGTAAATGTTTGCTTAATGACCAAATAGTTCAATTTAACAGCACCTAATGGTTTAATTTATAAATATCAAACAAATCATAATCAAACAAATCATAGCCCGGGTACGACTTGAGCAACCTTACCCTATATTCAAATTATTTTATTTTTTATTTAATATTTTTGCTTTATTTTTCCGGTGGTGGGTTTGTTCAATTTTCCGCACTGCAGTCTTTTAAGGTAAATGCAGTTGTTTCATATTATATATTGATATAGATTAGAGAAAAACTTTTTCAAACCATAATTATATATATATATATATATATATATATATATATATACATATATATTTATATGCATATATATGTGTGAACGTATATATGAATTGTTGTATGATTTGAATGAAATCAATACAATATCTAAATACTTCATATCTTTATTTAAAAATGCATACGTCTTAGGTATAAACTTAGCTTTTATTCAGTAGAAAAAACTATATGAGTGAATTATGTATGTTGTGAGTCTAAATGTGTACTATATGTATGTCATATTGATTTTTCATTATTGTACTCAAAGTGTGCCAATTTTCATATTTTTTTAGTTATTTTCTTGAAAAGTCATTTCATGTACGAATATTTTTAGCTTGGATGCATGAATGAATAAAAACATCTGCATTGTGTTCGTATTTCCAAATTATATTTAATTACATACATAAGTATTTTGATAATCATGTGTGACATAATCAAGTTGCGTAATAGTTCAGAAAAATTGTAATAAAAACTTATTTTTTATGGAATATATTGCGCGGCTTGAATATTTGTGACCATTTTTAAATTCATTATATACTTCACCATCAATTGATTCATTATATCCATTTTTCATTGAGCAGTAGTTCATTTATATAATATAAAAAATTTCAAAAGTATATGAACATTATCCATACAACAAAATACCGGATAAAGTGTTTTTTCCATAACTATTGATGATGATAGTTTAAAAAATGGTTTAATTGTATTTTCTTTATTGCTTGGCATGTCTCTTGGTGGGAATTCTGCATGATTCTTTCGATCCTAGGGTTTTGTAAGTATTTCTTTACTTTTTTGTATGAACCTATATATAATTATAGTATTCTCAAATATATGATGATTTGAGATTATGTTTATAAGAATACAACTCATACATGATGAAAGTAATCGATCATATCATGATAATTGTATTTTTGTATTATCACATTTTTTATATTTAAGAAAATTATAAAAAGAAAAAGAATCGCAGATTTTATGAAGTGGCTACCATATTGCTAATGTAAAGTGAAAAGTACAGATGATGATTTGTATATATACATACAGAATACGCAGAAATATTATATATTTCATCATTATTGTAGCTGCTTTTGTCATTGACGCCTAATTGGAATGAATGTCTTTCCCTATAATACTATCTATATAAGTAGTTACAAAATTTTCTATTATAGATAATATAAATGTAATTAAATTACTATAACCATAGATTTTTTCTAAATTATGTTATATTTGATAATTGTTTATATTCATGTAATTCATTTATCTATTAGGACAGAGAAGATGGACCATTATTTGAATTTTACCAAGTGATTATGGATGCTGGTGGTGATTTTATGGAGCTTTTGGTCAGGACAAAAGATTTAACCTTATTCGCTCCCAATAATGCAGCGTGGAGATCGCAGGCTTCAGTTAATGTTATCAGGTACACAAAATAAGATTAAATAGTTTTATATGAGATATTTATATGGTTTCATTTTCAATTTAAGAAACAAGGAAAAACTCAGGGAAATTCTCAATATGCACTTGGTACGTGAACGCTTGCCAATGGATAAAATCCTTCAGAACAACATTAATCAGGTAATTTGATAAATGAACTATGAATATTATGATTAACATTAAAATAACATTCTTCAAACCTACTCTGCGCTGCTTTATCAACAGGTATATAATATATTCAACATGCTTATCCTTATAATTTATTTCTGGTAACGATTGACTGGGCAACTTGCCCTATGGAAGATATCACTTACACCCTGTTACCCTGATATGCACAGAAGCACTGAATTATAATTTACAAATATCGAAAATAAAATGTATTTCTGTTACTGATTCAAAGATTTGGCAGGTGTCTACAGTGGCCGACCGTCGCAGTTTGTTCTTCAACATTCTTAACAATGGCCTGAACCAGACCTTGACGGTGGAAGGGGCAGGAGTGAACGCGACTGTGGTGCAGCCCAATGTGGCCTGCACGAACGGAATCATCCACATCATCGACAGGGTTGGGAGTGCCACACACCACGGTCATGCAGAAACTGCAGACCGATCCGATGCTCAAGTAAGAGGAATTGATATTTGACTTATTATTTGTTATAAAACATGGAATATTTATTGTTAGAATAAAAAAGTATGAAGAAATTAATACAAAATGTAGATAGATGGTGATTTATATACAAATGTATTGAAGTGTTTTATTTTTCTTTCAGCTCAACATATTTCTTGGGAAAATTGTCTAAATTCAATCCCCAATTGAATGATACAAAACGTAGATTTACATACTTTGTGCCCAGGGACAAGGCCTGGCAAAAGCTGAATTAGAATACCCATCTCAACACAAAAATTATTTATGAAGGATTTTGCATACCACGTGAGTAGAATAGATTGAGACTTGATATTTGATTTGTTTCCGAATAATAAATAGCAAACTGGTATTAGTAACTAGGGAATGCAATACCGATGGAAAATTTCAATACCGGTATTTCGGTAGTTTTTCATTTTATAACCGGAATACCGGTAGATTACCGGTATTTTTATTATCTTAAACAAACGTAAACAAAATTGAAAGTTACTAGTACAAATATAAAAAAATGTATATACAACCAGAACTATATTCAACTAAACAATAATACAATAAAATAAAACAATAAGTTTATTTTTTTAATAATAATTTAACAAAATTATCCAATTTAATTAATTCACTATCACTATCGAGTATATTGAGTACTTTTCACAAAAAACAAACTTATGAGTAAGAAAGACCAAAAACTCATAAAATTCTCATTTTCAAAACTAATACATTATTATAAAAAAACTGTATGTGTTAAATTAGCATAATCTCCAATTATTTGAAAAAATAATTTTTTCTACACTAATTTAAGATCGGATATTTTGTCGAGATAAATAATA